CAGTCAGTGGACCTGTGCTGACCTTGACTGAGTGTCAGGTCTTCCACTCGTTTCTCCGTTGCCTCTTCTTTTCTTCTCATGATCTGCCTCCTCTCCAAGCATTGAGCAGATGCTGTGCTTGAGGTAGTTTTCCCAGGTAGCAGGCAGGAAAACCAACTCCAGACACGGCTCCTGCCTCTCACCAGGAATACACAATGCTGTGCTCCGCCCCTGTCCTCTCAGCCCCTGCTCCTGGGAGGTGCCCGAGGTGCCCATCTGTGCACTGTGGCTGCACCTGCTCCCGCTGTGAGGCTGTGTATGTCACCTTGGGACCATACCTGCTCTCTGTGTCTTCTGTAGTCGAAATGAGCTGTCAGGGGACTCCCTGAACCTGGTGGATGGAGATCATCTCTGCAGCTGCATTTGGTGTGACTGCCCTAGGATCTTGTAACCCAGTTAATCGGAGCATGACGGTCTGCTTTGTGGTTTTCCTCACCAGAACCACCTTTCCCACCGAGTTGTAAGTGACAGCAATACTAGGAGGCTTGTGCCCCTGCTGGCTGAGTGCAGCCGTGGAGAGCTAGTTGGGTCATCACACTCACCCTTGAGGAACCCTGGGCTGGGCAGGTCAGAAACATCCAGCGTGAACAAAGCCCTTGGAGAGATTTGCAGAAAGAGCCGAGGCACTGGAGAAGAACGCCCTGGCAGGAGGAGGGCGCCACGCAGAATGCTTGAGGGGAACACAGACACGAAGGCCTTCAGGCTGAAGGAGCAGCACAGCTGGAGATGTGGCCTTGTGTGGCCACATCGTGAGGGGATTGGCTTGCTATCTCCTGTGGCCCGCAGTTTAGGGTCACACAAACTTTTAGCACTAAATTGTAAAAGGCTCACGAGCCCTGAAGAGCTGTGAGGTGTGGGGTGGGTGTTGGCTGTGTCTGGATTTGGTGACACTTGTTCACATAGGCGGTAACAGCACAGGGATTGGGCCAGCTCCATGGCTTGGAGGCCTTGGCCACAGCCCTCACCTCCAGGACCTGCACTCAGATCTTCATGACTGTTCACATCACTCTATTCTGCAGTTCTGTCTCTTTGTAGCAAACTGATGACTGCAGACACCTGTTTTCCTTCAGTCATGGAACATAGCCTGGCTTTTTTTAATAGGATCCTGTCTGCTAGGAGAAAACGCCATGCTTCCCCGCAGCCAGCATGGCCTTGCTTCTCCAGCTCCTGCTGTTGACAGCCCCACAGGGACTCTGTGCTCTGAGTCCTTACGGACCGCTGTGTGCCCAGAAAATGAAAAGGCCTTGCTCCCGGCCAGCATGGGTTTCATTTGGTTTCTAGAGCTGATGCCCGGTAGGCTTTCTTCTCAGTTCTTGGATTCTGCTGCCAGACCTGAGGGTTAGAAGCCATCCTGGTCTGTGGGTGCTTGGCTCAAAAAGCAAGTAGGGGGCCATGCACATCAGTGAGGCTCCCTGGGGATGAACAGCTCCCTGGGTGTGAGCGGCTAGGCTTTCACAGGGTGATCCTACAGGCTCCAGGGCTGCTTCTTACTGCTGTCCAATTCACCACAGTCCCTACAGTGTGTACCTTGATGGCTGTTTGCTGGATCTTTGCCACGTGATGTCTCTCACCTTTAAAGACCTGTGAGGTTTCTGGTTTTCCTTGCCGTCTCATTTTTATGCCTTCCTGCTCCTCCTCGGAGCCTTCCCTCCTTTCTGCTTTCCCTGAGGGAAAGAGGGCCTGATGTGATGCAGCCTGACTTCCCTTCATTAAGGCCAGCGTGATTAATCAGGACACCACCTGCTGCAGTGCAAGTGCTATGGGAGGGTTTGCAGGTATTGTCTCTTAGTCCTTACAACAGCCCTGCTTCTTGTCATCAGGCAGCTCTAGAGGTACTGTTTCTCTCTCATAAGTCAGGAAATGGATACAGTGTAGAATGCAGGTTGGCTAGTTCCTAGACCACAAGAACAGCTGGCACAGCTGGCAAGCCAAGACTGTGCATCTGAAGTCATTCAGCGTCAAAGGCTGGGCACAGGAGTGAGTGTCTGTGCCCCTTGTTTAATGGGTCAACTGGCTAGAGTGCCTTTCCTTCATTGAGTAAATGAACATAAACTTGACTGAAATGTCCATAGAAAGAAGCACATGAGTCATGTGTGTGTGACCCAGCTGCTTTCCACCAAGGACACCAGCCAGTCACCATGGGCAGCCTCCAGGGACAGCTGCTGGGGTGTATATGCCACCATACTTGTGCAGTCTTGTGGGTCTGGGCTCATCTTGAATTCAGGTTTGAAGAATGTTTAGAAATACAGTCGTTCCCCTTTGTGGTTTTAGTTCCTTAGTGTGCAGTTAGCAAATATTACACAGCAAAGTCCAAACATGAGCAACTTAGGAATTTTAAACTCCAGGCTATCCTGAGTAGCAGGAGGAAATCTCACCTGCTACTTCCTGCCTGTGACAGGAGGCATCCCCTGATGCACCGTATCCCTGCTGAATATGTTGCCTTCCTTTTAGTCCCTCAATAGCTATCACAGTGCTCAGACTGCCTGTCCCGGTAGGGAGATGCTTGTTCAGTGAACTGCTGTGTGACTTACAGTGGTTCCAAAGGTCACATGACGCTGCAGAGAGGCTGGAAAGTACCTCCTTTAATGAAAATGTGGAAGTACAACATATTGAGAGAGAGAGATCACGTTGATATAACTTTGATTGTATTGTTAGCTGTTTATCATGTTATCTCAATGTGCTTAATGAGTTAAACTTTATCACAGGGTATCTCTGGGGTTTCAGGCATCTCCCAGGGTTCTAGAAGTCATCCTCTGTGGAGAAGGCAGTTAACTGTACCCACTGTTTGTTGATAAACTCTTTTCTGGTTAACAGTGCTAGTCCTTGGCCATTAGAGAAGGCAAGTTTCCTTTGGGGGTCTCTTCCCCATCATCATGATGCACTGCATCATGGTCTGTTCTTGGTCCATTTGCCCGTGTCTCCTTCCCACCATGGATCCCTGATTGATACTTGCACTGCTGTGGTTTACCCACTTGATGACTCTGGGCAGCATCATGGGCAGTGCCAGCATCCTCCAGAGTTCCCCCGGCATGGATGTGGGTTCACAGCCTTGGCCATCACTCACCGCACTATGGGTCAGTTGTGAATTGCCTCAGTGTGCTGACCACAGACCGCCTGAGTCAGAAGGAGAGGGTCTCCTCCTGAGATCCGTGTGCATGGCTGCTGCCCACACTCTGTCATCTCCTGCTCATCTGGTGCGTTTGGCTCCATGCTGAGCAGGCATCCCTGCCCTGCACATCTGGGGTTGCTGGGCAGCTCCTGATGGAAACCCTGTCTCTCTGAGGCATCCACGCTAAGATGGGCACAGAGAGGCTGAGCCCCTGCAGTACTGCTCGTGAGCAAGCTGTTCTTAGAGGACGCAAGCAGCCGGGTGGTTTCATTGTGTCTGAATTCACCTGCTATGTGCTTACCGTTATCTGGAGACTCGTTCCAGACCCAGTTTTGGAGCTAGTTCACAGTGCTTGATCTGTCCTGCAAGAGTTACTTGAAGCTCAGAATTGTGTTAAGACAAGGATAGACTTAATCCTTCACAGTTCAGTGGTCATTTTTTTAAAGGCAACAAAGTGCTATTTGATTACAGCTGCAGATGTAACTCCCATCCTAAGGGGCATAGGTTATGTGCTAACTGTGAGGTGTGTATTTTGAAAGGTCACGTAGGCTTTATGTATTGCTAAGAACACCAAAGGGAAAAAATGAGATTTAGCTAGCACAATGGTGCATAGTTGTACTTCTAGTACTAAGGGAGCTGAGGCAGGAGGATTACAAGTTTTGAGTTCTGCCTGGGCAACATAGCAAGACCCTATCTCAGAATAAAAATGTTGAAAAGGGTCGGGGTACAGCACAGTGGTCAGACACTTCTAGGCTGGATCTTCATGACCACCAAGGGAAACTGACTTGGTGGTTCAGTGAGGTAAGAGCTTTGAGGTGTGGTCTTTTACATGTGCACCTGTTTCTGGAATATTCTGCATAGTTCTCATTATGTGTGTTGAGTTACTCAAAAATAATATTAATGATTTGGGCCAAATAGTTATTTCACATCCGTAACTAAATGTTTTCTAGGACATAATAGATACCCAAGAGTATGTCCTTTGGTTGAGGGTAGGGTAAATTTAAGTTTTCATGCATTTAATATTTAGCTCTTTGATCTGGAGATCAAATGATAGCCTTTAGTTTATTTTCAAGGTAAAACGTGGGTATTAACTAGGAGCTTGTAAAAATCTGCCATTCTGTCTATTTTCTTCCATTGTGTGCCTGTTGTAATCACAGAACTCGAGTTCTTAGTAAAGCTGAGGCTCTGAGCTCTGAGTATTTGTGGTGTCTCAGGGTGAAAGTGGCAGCAGCCATACCAGACTGCTGGCATCCTGCAGTCCAGGAGAACTGGGGACCCGCTGAGTCAGAGACTTTCAGTCCCTCATACTTTGTTCATTACGACAACCTGCTACAAAGCCGCTTGTACAAGAGAATCTCTTGTTTTCCCTTTACTGTACCAGAAGTTTAAATCCAGGCTTTAAACTGGTGTACTTCGAAAACTGGTTTTTGTTAGTGTTGACTTATATGCACTATTTGCTGTGTGAAATTATTTCGTGTTTCTATGGGCTTCATTTTAAAACTCCCAAATGGTGATGATTTCTGGTGACACCAAGAAATCATACAGTTGTATAGAGTTGACTAGGAAGCACATTGTTTCATAATGGGATCCAAAAGAATACTTTTTCGAGTGGATAAGCCCAAGTTTTAATTCATGTTAAAGCAGGGTTCAATGTAGGTCTCTGTGATACTCCTTAGGCTTCAGCCATGATTTATTTTAAATCTGTTCCATTGGTAAAATTTGATTTCAGAAGGAAATCACCCCTGGGGAAGCCCAGCTTCTCACCGCCTGTCTTCTCCGGGAGCAGGGCTGAGGCTCATCCTTCACCACAACCTGTGTTGTCTTTCCTCTCTCTTCGGCCCCATGCCCACAGAGCCTACTCCTTCCACGTCACTGCGGATGGCCAGATGCAGCCGGTCCCCTTCCCCCCAGACGCCCTCATCGGACCTGGAATCCCCCGCCATGCCCGCCAGATCAACACGCTCAACCACGGAGAGGTGGTGTGCGCGGTCACTATCAGCAACCCCACGAGACACGTGTACACGGGCGGCAAGGGCTGTGTCAAGGTGTGGGACATCAGCCACCCTGGCAACAAGAGTCCGGTCTCCCAGCTGGACTGCCTGGTGAGCAAGCGGCACTGCTACACTGTGCCTTCCCCCTGGAGACTCAGGAAGGAGACAGCTGTCCAGGCCTGCAGTCCACGCCTGGTTCAGCAGGAAGTGGGAGCCCTGCTGGCCTCTGTGCTATTTCTCTGCCCCACTCCCTCCGTGCAGGGCAGGTTCCCCTGTTGCTATGCAGGTGGTTGGATCCCAGGGTGCTGATGCCTCTGATGGGTAGATGTGTGTGCAAGGGGGTTTCCCATGTAACAAAGGGAAAGCTCAGTGAAGCCTGGACTCTGGTCCCCCCATTCTTAATTTCCTTGTAGCCTGCAGGTGAATGTTGGATAGTAAACATTTGATGCCAGTGCTTGAAAGCCTTCTTGAACAGGGACTGTTTTGTTAGGGGAGATCTGGGAGAGCCGGCTGGGTTTTATTACCATAACTTTAGGCAGGATGCAGCACAGGTGCAGGAAGAATGCTTCCTGAGGCGTGCGAAGTCCAGGAACCCCAGTTTGCCTTTTCAGAGACATGGAACATGCATGAAAGCATAACCCCAGATTCCAGGTGGTCCTCCTGCCCAAGCAGAAGGCACAGTTTATCCACTGCCTGGCTTGGAGGGCGTGAGGGTTCCAAGGTGATACTTCCAAAAAGTGGGCTGGCAATGTTCTTGAGACACACAGACTTTGGGGGTAGTTATTAGTATTTTTTCTTTTAATTAAATGACTTAAAAATGTCTCCTTTAATGACACTTGAGCCGCAGCCCAAAGTTCTACAGTAGTTAGTAGTGTTCTCTTGTGAAGTTCTGTGCTTAAGTTTCTCTAAACTTCAGGAGACTAGATGACATCAAAGCTTGTCCCTTGGGGTCTGAAATGGAAGACGACAGCTCTTCCTTCTGAAGTGGGAGCCTGTGCCGTCCCACCCCATCTTTTATCAGTTTTTGTGGCCTTTAAATTGAGAAGCTTACAGGAGACAGTGGTTGCATTCTAACCTGAGACTGCAGCACACGCCTGTGATCCCCACTGCTCCAGAGGCTAAGGCAGGGTCACCAGTTCAAGTCCAGCTTAAGCAACAGGGGAGGTACTATTTCTGTGTGCAGTAAAAAGGGGTGGTATAGCTCAGTAACAGAGCACTTGGCCAGCACATGTGAGGTCTTGGATTCAATCCTCAGTATAGCAGAGTGAAACTCCGAGTTGAGAGAGCAGTGTTGTTAACTCCTCAGGTAAGAATCTTCTGACTAAAGAAACCACAGTGCAACATTTGGAAGCGTTAGAGCATGGAAGCCAAAGCACAGGCAGGGGGCTGCAGTTTCCAATAGTAAATAATGGAGAGGAGCAATAAAGATTCAAACTAGCTTCATAGATGAGTCTGTGCACACCAGCCTGATTCCTAGCCAATGACAGGTCTGCCTGCCGGGTAGAGCACGAGGGATGTTCTGAGCTTCCACACACAGCAGAGAAATCCTGTCAGTTGCTTTGTTTCCCAGTTGCATTTGGACCCCAGTCTTTTCTCCAGAATAGAGTCCATGAAATGCCCCTCCTCAGTCAGAAAACAAGATACAGTTAGAGCGTGGTGCATTACAGCAATTGGATTATGTTGTTTCGCAGAACAGAGATAATTACATCCGCTCCTGTAAATTGCTGCCTGATGGCTGCACCCTCATCGTGGGAGGGGAAGCCAGTACTCTGTCCATCTGGGACCTGGCGGCTCCGACCCCGCGCATCAAAGCAGAGCTGACGTCCTCGGCCCCCGCCTGCTATGCCCTGGCCATCAGCCCCGACTCCAAGGTCTGCTTCTCGTGCTGCAGCGACGGCAACATTGCGGTGTGGGACCTGCACAACCAGACACTGGTGAGGTGAGCACAGAAAGACCTCAGGGGAGCCCTTTTGGAGTATGGCCTAGAGACTGGCTCTTGGCTGTCCGGGGCCCTCTGCCATGCACCTCCTGCCGCCAGGCTGGGCAGGGGCTTCGTGGCTGCCAGGTGGTCTCCCCCAGGTTTCTGCTCATTAGCCCACACAGGGGCCAGGCCTGGTTTAGGATGGGGCTGGTGTGGCTCACGTGGTGGTGTGAAGGTCCTGAGTGTTCTGGGTTTGATCAGAACCTTGTTTGTGCAAACAGGAGCCATCTGATGTGATGCAAACTCAGCAAGAAGACACTAGAAGAGGTTCCATGAGTGTAGCCCACTGACCCACAGTGCATTTCTCAGCAGCCAGCTAGGAGACCTGTTCAGGGTTCACCCACCCAGGAACAGGTGGCTCTGCCTGGCTTCCTCGAGCTCGGCCTCCCAACCTCAGCCACTGCGAGGCTTCCACTCCCTTGGCCAGCACTCACACTGAGATGTCCTGGGGACGTCTTACATGGAAGCACTCAGTGTAGGACCTGCTTGCCATCCCAGGCTCTCTGGGAGCCTGAAGCAGGAAAACCATGAGTTCAAATTCAGCCTGGACACTTGAGCAACTTAACAAGATCCCGTCTCAAATAAAACAACAAAAAGGACGGGGGCTGTAGCTCAGTGCAGTGGTCCTGGGTCAAATCCCCAGTACTGAAAAGAAACAGAGACATCAATCACTAAGGCAACATCAGAAATGCAGGTGGCCATGTGAGGGTTTTGGCCACATTTCAGCATTGCTCAGAAACTGCTTCTGCTGGGGGTGCAGGTTGAGAGGCCCCTCTGCCACTGGGTGTACACGTAGGGACATGGGGGGCGTTGTGCCAGCCCAGCTCCTTTCCACCTCTTTGTAGAAACCCAGTGTCCTGATGCTGGACCTGGGCACAATGTGGCACGAGTGAGCAGCAGGCCCCAGAGAGCTGGTTACGTACCCTTCCGTCTTTAGAAGCTCAGGTTTCCTTTTGTTTCTGTTCTTTTTTTCCTCTTCTCTTTTCCTTTTCTTTGATTTTTTTCTGTAATGTAACAGTGCTTCAAAATATTCTAAGCACTTTTCCAGTGTGACTCCATTTAGTCCCCATACCCACACGTGAACCTCTGTAACCCACGTGAAGAAGGGAGCTGGGGCCACAGTGGCAGAGCTGAGGTTGCAGTGCAGCCTCTCACCCTGCTGTGCTCAGCTGCCCAGCCTCCTTGGGGCTGTGGTGCCACCAGTGCTGAGTGGCTACTCCCAGTGCAGGACATTGCGTGTTGTGTTTCTTGGTACGCAACACATTGGTGCACTCATAGTTCTGTCTGTGGCAGCCGGGGCGTGGGCACGATGAGCGTGGCAGATGGAGGAGCACTGTTGGGTATCACCATCAGCAGGAAAGGGTGTTTTTAGAGGGCAGCATGGTTATTGAATGAAAGAGGGGAAGAGAAGTCACAAGACAAAGGGCTGTGCTCAGGACTGGCTTTCCAGAGCAGTGGATGACAGGGACCACGGGGACACCCTGGAAGCAAAGCCTGCAGGCAGGGAGAAGACTCGCTGCAGAGGCTTCCCCAGTCGGGGAGAGATCATGACTGAATTCGGAGCAGCAGTGGTGCTGTTTCCCTCCCTTGCACTCTTACACTGCACGTTGGGCTCTGTGGGAATGAGGAGCAGTGCAGCACGGAAGCAGACCCTGCCCCGTAAGCCCAAGCCTGGCTCTCGGCCCAGGCCCACCTGGTTCTGAAGGCAATCAGACTTCTCCCCCGTCTGCACCACTCCTTGAAGCTGCCTCTCATAGGCAGCAGAGCTGAGCTGATTGGCGCAGAACGGCCTGGCCTCACCTGTGCCCTGGCGGCACCTGTGCCCAGCAGTCCCTGCTGTCTCAGCCTTCTGGAAGCTGCCAGAGGTCCTCCTGAGAGTGAAAGCCTTGTGCTTGGCCTGGAGGGGTCTGCCCAGCTCAGAATTGGGATGCAGGCATGATGCTTTGTCTCTGGAAGTCCAGGTTTCTAATGCTGGGCTCTTTCTAATTCAGAAAGCAGAGTTGACTCCAGGCATGGTGACTCGAGCCTGTTAATCTCAGCACTTGGCAGGCTGAGGCAGGAGGATTGCTGCTGAGTTCAAGGCCAGCCTGAGCTACAAAGTGAGTTCAAGGCCAGCTTGAACTACATAGTGAAGAAACCTTGTCTCCAAAAACAACAAAAACCGCCCAGCAAAGTTGAGAGTCAAGTGGCTTGTTCAAGCTGTGTTGGGTGAAGGGTTGACATGCTCAGGGGAAAGGGTGCTTCTGTAATACAGCCACACCTCATGAGTCAGGCTTTCCCCTCTGCCGTTGAAGGCCAGGCCTCTGTCTTTCCTGCAGGGTACACTGGGATTGTTTCTCCTTTATTTTCTTTTAACACTTTTAGAGCTGGGGAGGAGTCTTACCTTGTAGACCAATTTGGCAAAGAGCCAGAGCAGCGTATCTGACTTGAGGGTAGTGATCTCCAGGGACAGTCTGTCTCTTTAGCCCTCAGACAGTGAAAAAGAAACCACTGTGCAGGCATAGCTCCCTTCCTCCCGGGAAAGCTGGTTTGATCTTACACATCAGCAGACACTGACGAGAAGTCACACATGGAGTCCAAAACTAACAACACAACAGTGTTTACCTTAAGCTCTGGCAGGAAATCATTATTCAATCTGGTTTGTTTTATCAGGCAATTCCAGGGCCACACGGACGGAGCCAGCTGTATTGACATTTCCAACGACGGCACCAAGCTCTGGACGGGTGGCTTGGACAACACGGTCAGATCCTGGGACCTGCGCGAGGGGCGGCAGCTGCAGCAGCATGACTTCACCTCGCAGGTGACTGGCCAGGCTTCGCCTGCTGTGGGGTCCTCAGGGCATTCTGTGGGCTGTCCCTGCTCCGAGGGAAGGGTTGTTGGACCAAGACAGCTCAGCAGATTTCAACCTAAGATGACCAATATCAGGAAAACAAAACTCACGGATAACACCCTCTGCCCCCTAAAGTTCTCAGTAGTCCTGAAGTGCTGTAGTTAAAGACGTCCTCACTGCCTGGCTTTGTGTAACAGATTCCGTAAGTGAGGCACAGATTTCCTTCAGCAGGGTTTGACTTGTTGTGTGTATTCTCACTGTTCAGTGCCAGGGGAGAGAGATGATTGGATTCCCATCTAAAGAGAGCTTGGAGAATATGCAGGGCGCCATGAGGAGGAATGGAAATTCACAATAACTCCCAAAGTTAGTTCACTTCCCCTGTATCCGGGAGCTTAAGGAAAATGCAGCAGTAGCTCAGTGGGTGCCCACTTTATTACTTATTGCTTAAAAGTGGACTCATGCTAACTAGATTTATGGGGTTCTGCAATAATTAAAAATAGCAACTCTGGATTTTGTGAGTACCTGGATCTAGACTTGTTTTGGGAAAGGCAGTGCCTATACTTCAAGTGGTTTCTAGTGCTGGACTTGTTCTTTGATTATTACATGACATTTCCCTTTTTTATAATAAAAAAAAGCATGACTTAAAAAAATAGACAAAAATGGGAACAACTATGTATATTAGTGAATTTTGTGTCCTTGTTATATTTTGATTTTGTTTGTAGTCTCCTTCATTTTGCCCTTTCCTAATGTGAGTAGGATTTTAGTTTTAATCTTAATTTTTAACTTCTTACAGAATTCTGAAATATATGAACGCTGAAAATGTGCGATCATACATGCAGGGACGGGTGCTCGTGGCCACAGCCCGGCACCAACAGTGATCATTCCGTACCTGGCCGGCCTCTGTCATCCGTTACCCCACATACTGCCCACCCCCAGCACTGGATTGTTTGAAAATAATTCTAGATACATGATTTTATCTATAAACATAGAGTTAAGATCTCTGAAAAGCTAAAGACGTCTTTAAAACCCAAATGACCACCCTTAGTATTTAGAATAATTCCTAGCTAGATATAGTGGTGCACACCCATAGTCCTAGCTGCTGGAGAAGCTGAGGCAAAAGGGTCAAGAGTTTAAGGCCACCTGGGGCCACTTAGACCCTGCCTCACACCAAGTAACAAGGCCTGGGGATGCAGCTCAGTGGTGCAATGCCCCGTTTCAGTCAGTCTCCAGTTCTGCAATAAAAAGGATGCATTAATTTCACTCCATGTGATGGACATGTTGGACTATTTCCGATGTTTCATAAAGGTGTTTTTGATGGGAGGTGGGACCACTGAGCTGCACCCCAGCCTCACAAGGGTTTTGAGCCTGGGTTCCTCTGTTCACTGTTCCACTGTCTGGAATTAGCTAACTTCGTCTCCCCATGTTTGCTGAGCAGAGTAACTGTGGGTGCTCTTTCTTACAGATCTTCTCCCTGGGCTACTGCCCGACTGGGGAGTGGCTGGCCGTGGGCATGGAGAGCAGCAACGTGGAGGTCCTGCATGTGAACAAGCCTGACAAGTACCAGCTGCACCTCCATGAGAGCTGTGTGCTGTCCTTGAAGTTCGCTTATTGTGGTGAGTTCAGCAGAAAGGAAGCTGGAGGCCATGGATGGCCGAATGGAAAATACTTCAGAAAGTATGGTTAGAGATCTTATCTGGAAAAAATGTCGCTCTCCCAACAGCTGGGTGCAATAATTCTATTGTTTTACTGTGCCCCTTGGAGCATGGTGATCTCAGTTTTAGTCTGTGCTGCTAATTTGAGAGGAGTTAGCAGGCATTGAAATTGCCTAAGGCCAGGTTTGGACTCAGTCTTGTTTTGGTGGCACGTGGGCAGTTTGCATGCTGAAGTTGGGGGGGTGGCACATTCCCACCTCAGCCCTGGCCATTACACATTGGCCAGGATGAGGAGCTCAGGGTCAGAGCAGGGGATACTTAGCTGGATCCAGTCTCTACCTCATCCTGCGGTGAAGACAGAAAGACTTAAAGTTCCCAGGGGATTGTCCTTGTGTGTTGCAGGTGATCATATATTTTTTTCAGCCAGCAGGCAGATAGATGGGAGGTACACTTAATGAGCACATTGAACGTCATGACATTTAATTCTTACATTTTATCGTAAGGAGACTGAGTGATATAGAGCAGCTTCATTGATTCAGTATTTGCGGGATGGTTGTGTGTTGAGTGAGGCTACAAATGTGTCTAGGAACCAGCAAGATAGGGAATATCATGGGGAGGCCAGATATAAACCTCTGCTTAGGTCTTAGACTCACTCTTGGGGCAAGAAGGTTCATGCATGAAACCAAGTCGCTAGTATCCTAGAAGGCACTTCAGTGTCACTAAAGCATGGTGTGCTGTGCTGCTTATTCTAGGTAAGTGGTTTGTGAGTACTGGAAAAGACAACCTCCTCAACGCGTGGCGGACCCCTTACGGAGCCAGCATCTTCCAGGTCAGTGCGGTGGCAGGAGCCCCGGAGGGAGTGGGCCTGTGTCCCAGCTCCAGTCACACGTGTGCCTGTTGTCTTCTCTTCCAGTCCAAAGAGTCCTCGTCAGTGCTGAGCTGCGACATCTCTGTGGATGACAAGTACATAGTCACTGGTTCCGGGGACAAGAAGGCCACCGTCTATGAAGTCATCTACTGAAAACATGGCTTAACATTACAGTTGAATTGGGCCAAAATGTTTGAATTTGTAGAAATAGAGAAGTTGTCACTTCAAAAGAAAAAACCACATCCAAGAACATAAAACCCAGTTTCCAGACCCTGACACAATCCTCTGAGTCTACAAAGAGGCACGATGAGGCCACTGCTGTCGCCGGCTGCCTGCCTAGCCCTGGGAGCATCACTACAGCGCAGACCTGGCCGGGCGCAGGCTGAGGAACAGACCTGCAATTCCAGCTGCGCCCTGCCTTCCCTGGGATCTGAGGCCTGTGCCTTGCAGTGTGAGGCTACTTTCTGTTCTGTGCAGCTCACCTCGAGTTCTGTCCTTCATCGAGCAGTGGTGTCTCCAATGAACCTGTTTCCTGGTTTTGCATCTTGTGAAATGTTTTTTTGTATTTTTGTTGAAGGTTAAACATTTGTATAAATTGTAAATATATTTGGTTTATTACAGTAAAGGCTTTAGTACCAATAAGTACTTCTCTTTTTCCTTCTTTACTGTTTATAGCAAGGCTTTGGGATCATTAATGTAGGTTGTGTGAACAGTCTGTGCATGGGTTTGGAGTTTTAAAAAACACTTATTATTTCATAAATAAATTTGGCTGTAGACTTCTGCTACATTAGAACATGAACCTGCTAGGGTTGGTGGTACAGACCTGTAATCCCAGCACTCCGGAGGCTGAGACAGGCAGATTGCCACAAGTTCAACGCTACCGAGCCAGGCCTTGTCTCAAAAAACCCAAAAGAAAAAAAATGAATGCAGCAAGCATTTCTGAGTTAACAGAAACTCAGGACTAGAAATGAGAATAACCAAGTGTGTTAATGACAGTTTAATCAAAGAAGCTAAATGTGCTTCATCAATACTCTTTGTTAGGAGACTCTTGTGATTTAAGGTTACAAATCACAGCATCCTTTTTGGTGTCGCCTCAGAAGGCAGAGCCTGATTTCTCTAGGAAAGCCCAATGTTTTCAAATTTGCGTTCTCTTCCAACCTTTGTGTTTCAGGAAATGTTGGAGGCTTGGGTTTTGTGTTACAATTTATGATGTCCAGAAAGCTGGAGAGTTCATTGCCTTGTTAAAGCAAGGTGGAAGTCCGCTGGTTTTTATCTTCATTAGTGCTTCCTTGGCCCATTATGTTAATTTATTTAATCCTGCCGTCCTGGCCCTGGCCATTCTGCTCCTTAGGGCCATCCCAGTCAGTCATCATTCTTGGGACTTGATCTTTGAGCAATTTGATTAGATGAAATCTGTAACCCTGGGCTTTTAATAAGTTACCAAGCCTGTTTGTTCCTGCAGGGGCCACATGGCTCACTCTTCACACACCTGTTATTTACTATTTCAGAAAAGAATTGCCTCCTAATTTTGTCTTTTTTCCCCAGCTATTTAAAAATAACACCTAAAAGATTTTTTAATGTTCTTGTTTTCTTACAAAACAGCAAATTGTTGGCAGTTTGTCTTAATATTTTTCATTTGTCATCTAGACTTTCTGGTTTTTATATTTTTAAGAACATTGCTTTGTTTTTTTGCCAAAAAAAGTTTGTGTATGTACAGAATTTGTTAAATATTTTCACTTCTCACTAAGAGAATGGCAGACCACTAAGGGCAAAGCTGGCTTGTTCTGCCTAGAGCCAAGCTTACTGTTGTGCCTTGTCGGCCGTCTCCCTTCCTCTTTGCTTTGTCCACTACCAGGTCAGAGGCTCGGTCAGTGTCAGGCTCAAAACTGGGGGCAGCTCTGTGTTTCCAGGGTTGCTCTTGTGGCTGACACTTGCAGCCGCCCCTGGGAAGGGTATAGTCTCGGGAAGAGCAGGTCTCCTCTTCCTAGTGGCTTGCAGAGGTCAAGTCCCATGGCTCAAGGGCCTTGGGTGAGACTGCCGGGTGAGACTGGTTCCCTGTGGTGCAGCCAGGAGCTCCTGGAGAAGGGGACACAGCAGAAGTTAAAGAGACTGCCCTCTCCTGTCAGGGAGTTGTGTTTCCCCTTCCTTCATGCAGCTTTCCAGCTTTGGTCTGCTGCCTGACGGTGCTTTTCTGAGGAGCTGGACGCTGTCCTTTCACGTCCATCTGTGCGGGCTGGGGGAGGACCCAGGGCCTCATGTAGGCCAAGCCAGTGCTCTGCGGTGGAGCTGCAGGGCCAGCCCTGACCAGCCTGGTGGGAAGAGCTTGGGAGAGGCGTGGCAGTGCACAACCTATCGCAGGAGTGGGTAGAATCTTGAGAAAGTGTCCAGACAGTTGAGCATTTCCTACTCGTAATGAAAATGATGAAAATCAAGCCTCAGTTTCATGGTCTTGAGGATCAGAAGTGCTCGGAAGAGGTGTTCCTTCCTAAACTGTGACCTCGCGCCCTCCCCTACCCCCAGGAGATTGGCTGCAGAGATAGTTGGGACCTGGCAAGCCATGTGTTTGCATAGCCCTTGCCTTGACCAAGGGTGACTAAGCAGAAACCAGCAGTTCACAGGGGTGTAAAGTGGGTCGCATCTCTGTGCTGAGAGCCTGCTCACCAAGTCCACCTGTAAAAACCCCAGGAAATGGCTGCCACTCACTTTTTAAGGCAGGGAAGCAGTGCCCTGTGTTCCTGATACACAGAACCATGCATGGTTTTACTGTGATCTCTACTTCACGTTTCATAGGTGGGCTGTGACTTCTCCCCCTAGTTACTACATTTTTTGGTTTCACTTAAAAACTTAGGATATGTGTGGTTTTCTTAAGGACCTCTTCTATGCCATGGTAATTTAAATATTTTTTTTCTCATTCTTTTTATTAACAAATCCTACTTTGGCTTTTCTAAACCCACCCTACCCTTACCCCAGGCTGGAGAGCCCCCAGGATGCCCCCCAAAATTTCAAGGAGAGGTTCGTTGTGGCTGCCAGCTCCAAGGCAGGGAGCAGCTGCTGAGAGAGCCTCACACTGCAAGGCGCAGGCCTCGGACCCTAGGGAAGGCAGGGCGCAGCCGGAATTGCAGGTCTGTTCCTCAGCCTGCGCCCGGTCAGGTCTGCGCTGTAGTGATGCTCCCGGCAGGGCCAGGCAGGCAGCCGGAGACAGCAGTGGCCTCATCATGCCTCTTTGTAGACTCAACAAGAGCCTTGCAGTCACACTCCCAGTGGCCTGCCTCCTAACACAAGTCCTCTGCAGTGCCCTCTAATCCAGTCACCCCACAGCTGGCCTCTGAGCACGCGAGGCTGGGGAGCATGTGCCCTTCCTCATCCTGTCTCATCATTCCCAGCATGCAGCACTTCGATGGGAGCTGCTAAGGAAAGTCGAAGGCACAGTGAGGATGGTTTTGTTGTGATTTGTGAGGTGCCAGTGTAACTGTTTGACACAAACTGTAATAATCCTTTGGTAGCTGACAGGTACCAGGACTGGTAAGCAGCAGCTGGCTGCCCATCTGAGGAACATTCAGGTAGCTGCGCTGAAATTTGCACCTTTGCTCTGTGGTACAACTCACCCAGGCTGCCCAGCAGACCACAGAGTCTTCATTTCAGCACATCATGTAATTCCACCAAGGAGGCTCAAGGAAACAGCTTGAGCGATGCCGCTGCAAGCCTCTGCTCTGCTGCAGCCCAAGGGCTGGTTACCTTTGGACAGTGTCTAAGGAAATTCCCAGATCACCACAGTTGTATCAGGGTCTTTTTCTGCCCTAAAGGATGTGACCATCCAGATAGCCAAAGCTGCTTTGCCTGCCTATTTCATTTTAGCACTTAACAGTTAAATGTTCTTACTCGGATTCCCGTTTCTAGAGATGCTGACCACCTTATTCTGCATCAGAAACATCTGGAAGACTTAACATTCTCATTTCTGGGCCTGGGTCTCAGAGTTTCATATTCTACAGGTCATTGTGGGACCTGGAAATTTGCATTTCTGAAACACATTCTCAGGAGGTCCTGAGGTACCCTGGAAGAACTGCTAGTCTAGAGCAGTAACTTCTACAACAAATCTATCAATTTAATAAACTTCCCTGTTTCAATATCTTTATACTCTTAAGACTGGACGCCTCTCATGGTTTAGGCTTTGTGGCTAAGGGTAAAAATACAAGGCTTACTACCAAAGTTGCTTGATGTCTGTCCTGATAGGCTCCATTTTCAAAAATAATTTTTGACATATAATAGGTCTAAACCAAAACTGATCTACAAAAATCATTTCATTGCTTAGCCTCTCTCAAAGCACAGTGACTCTATAAGGACTTGGAAGATGTAACATAGTGGAGCCCTAAAGAATGTGCCTCGCAATGGGGTGGGCAGTACTGGGGTGGTGACCCACAGCTACAAGTTAGAAACCATTCTGAAAATTGGAATACTGACCAAATACAAACTAGCAAAGCTGCTAACTTTATTTTATTTTATTTTATTTTATTTTTTGAAGTACTGAGAATCAAACCAGGAGCATGTGCCTGTTGGCAAGCACTCTACTCCTGAGCTACAACTCTAGCCCTTTTCATTTTTTGCTTTGAGACAAGGTCTCACAAAGTTGCCCAGGCTGACCTGGAACTTGTGATCCTCCTGCATCAATTACCCAAGGAGCTGGGGCTGCAGGCACATGCCACCATGCCCAGCCATGTTGCCTACACTGGATTTTTATTCTTCAAGTGATCATACATATTAGATATCCTCAGCCATCCAGAATGGACTGAGGTGACCTTAGCTGGGTGCTTCTGGGTAGATGACATGGGTAAAAATACTGTAGGGAGACCAGTGCTAGAGAACTGGGCTGAGGCACTGCCTAAGGCAACCAGCAGGAAGCCACGGGCAGGGACACTCCCGAGCCTCAGGTACGAATCACCAGCTCCAGGCTGGCTTGCCTGTGGCAGCATGCCCTTTCAAAGGATGGGAAGTGCTGCTGTGTGCCAGTCAGCCACTGTGCCAGGCGAGGGCTTCCACATTGTCTCCCGTAATGGGGCTGAAATTTTGCATGCACCCATGTGTTAAGAAAAACATTCCTTTTTGCTTTAAAAAGAAAAAGTCATAAATACGTTCTACGCCCCTCATTTTCAACTTGGAGAATATGGCAAGGCGCAAAAAAGAAAATAAAAACCCACTGGTTTGCCTAGAATCCATGCTATCATTTTTATTCAAGACACATCAGACAATGCAGGTAATTACTAAATGCTGACCCTTAAGTGTTTACTACATGTCAAGGGCGGTTAAGCGCTTGTTTGCTCACTGAACCTTACAAAAGCTTCGTGAGAGCAGTTACTAGCTTCATACTTAATGGGTGAGGCAACCGAAGCAAAGGGAGATTAAATACTGGCAGAAGGTAGAGTCAGATTTTAACCCAAATGGGTAGACTCCGAAGTTAGAAATCCTTCTTTCTGTTCTAGATCTTTGCACACATACAGGGGTGGGGACAGTTCTTTTCCTTCGTTTGTTTGTTTGTTTCTTTTTTTTGCTCACTCTCTTGTTTTTGAGATAGTCTCTCTCTGTGGTTCAGGTTGGCCTTGAAGTCCCCTTGTCTCATTCTATCAATTGTTGGGATTACAGGCATGTTC